GCAGCATGTTGCTCGTGTAAAAACAAAAAAAAAACTTGTAAAGGTGCAGATGTAGCGCTGGTCCGCAGCCATCTGTAATACTTAGATGTGGTGTAAATCGACACATTACAACACAAATAAGGCCCCTCTTTTCCAATATGCTCTGACAGGAGAACCAGCATGTATCAATGTCAATCAGTCGTATGTACGCTGCGGAATTCCGCGAGGTGGTGGGGGAGGGGGTAGTGCTTGCTTGCTGGAGGGGGTGAGGGTCGTATTTCGCCTGTGAGAAATTTTTCAATACTTGGTTGTTCCTGTTCCACGCGCATAATCAACATCGCTGCAACATTCCCACTGGAGCGAAAAAAAGGGGGGGGGGGGGGTCAAATTTGCTCGTTACTCTGAAAGGCGGTCGCTCTAGGGGTTTTGAGAATTTTTCGGTTGTTGACGTATCGCTATTTTGTGCTATAAACGCCTCTCATCCCGTAGTTGGCGGGGCAGTTAAAGTTGTATAAAGTACTATTTTCGATAGATGACATTATTAGTGACAACCCCTTCCGCTCTCGCCCATCGAGTTTTGGGGTGGAGGGTGGGGGGGGGGGCGAATTTCAAGAATTCGTGGAAACTGGGATGTGTGGTAAAAAAGGCAGTAAGATGGTAGGTCGAATGGGGAGAGGCATCGTATTTTGTGAATATTCTCCTAGCGGCACCATGTGTCCTGCTGTTGAGGACTTTTAGGACATGTATTGGCCTTTCATGCGAAGAGTATGATTTCATCAACTTCCTAAAGGTAACGCGCTGGACCGCGTGCCCGTACTACAATCAATGCCTTTTCGAGAAAAAAAAACGAATCTACCTTTAAACGAATCTTCGTGGACGAATCAGAATGACTAGTTTTTGGAGTAGATTTCTGCTCACTTATCTTACGCGGTCTACCTCGCTTTCGGCGTGAGTCAATTTTGCTCTTTTCCAAAATATCAGCAAGAGTCTGATCATCAGAACCGTTATCCTATAAAGAAAGATTTTGAAGGAAATTTGTCCCCTCACTTTTACATCCACTATAGCCAAAAATATGAACGACACACCGACAGTGGTTCCTTTATGATCGCCTGTAGTTTGAGAAGATCTTTAGAATCGTCCTCCTATAATTGATGTTCAGGTTCAAAGTTTAAAAGCAGTATTAATGGACTAGATAACCTGCAGTGGCTTCTTCTTGATCAGTGGACTCAGTGCAGATTCAGCGAGATCGTCATCAGTATCGTTGTCCTTAAAAATTATGGTAGGAATTACTACTCAGCAGCACAGCTGGTCCGTGGTTGTGCGTGATTGAAGGCGCCGCAGTGTTGAGAGTTGCTTCAGATTTCGTTCAGAAAATTTAAACCTATGCATACTTATATGAGACATGACGAAACGCCCTGGTAGTGCCACACGGGGCAGGGGCTGCTCAAACTTGCTAGGATGAGGTTCAATTATCAATATCATTCGAATATATCATTGTATGAGTCATTATGCTAACTGCTATTGTGATGCTGTCATTATGCTGTTGTGAGATTCTCAGTGGGAACCAATACAAGCAATCTTCGCTGAAGCGTTCAAATTTGCCAGTCTTGTCGCAAAGCGCTACGGCCGTTATTAGTGGCACCAGCAA